ATATCATATATATATATATATATATATATATATTAGAATATTCACTATGACCCAACACTCACCTCATTTTGCAACCTGTACTAATCTTGCCTGGTCAAATTATCTGATTTTAGTATAGGGCTGTCCTCGACTAAGGATTTTTCAGGTCGACTAGTAATCGTTCATTTGAAGCATTAGTCGACTAATCACGTTTATTAATAAACCATTTAAATCATTATAATGAGCCTTTATTTGCATAGATAGCCTAATAAGCGCTCATGTACATGCATAAAGCTTGCCACAGGGCACCGGCATAAGTAATGATTATGAATGTTTCAGGGAAAAACAGTAAGGAGACTGCATTAATATTTTAATAATTTGATAAACTAGTGCTTTCTTTGTTTTCGGATTAAGAGATGAAGTCGGCGACACTGAATCCGCAGTTGTAGATGCGTCTCTATTCATGTTTCATACGGATTACATAATCTGAGAATTTCTTTTCCATTTGAATTGGTTCATTTGAAAGTAGACATTTCACTCTATGTAGATATATTTTTTATGTCTGTAAGGCAAACATATACACAGAGTTTTGCATTCAAGTTCACAGACCGAGACGGTCTTTGCTTTCATTTGTGATAACCCAAACCCAAATAACTGCATGTTTGCTTTCATTATTTTACAAAAGCGTCGTATTGTGAGTGCACACAAATAAATGTAGAGTCTTTACAGGTTTGAAAGATGTATTACTCTTATCTGTATGACCAAACATGAGGGAGTATTTTAAGAACAAGTGAGCGCACCGGCGCCTCCATCTGTCCTGCAGTGATTGAGCTGCTGTTCAGCTTCCACACTCAGCACAGACACTTGAACAGCGCACATTTCTCTAGGTTAACATTACATTGAGCGGCCATGTAAAGTTGCTAATACTTACATATTTCAGATGATAAGCCATATTTGAGAGGTCGATGAATGATAGTCGAGCGTTTGGATGTCCTGCCCATCGATGTACTGTATTACTAGGGCTGGGACAATAAATCGATGCATCGCGATTCGTAGATCGATTCTGAGATTTTCGGAATGCATCATGATTCTCTCTCGAATCGATTCTGAGCTTAGTTTTTAACAGCAGATGACACTCTAGGCTAGTTTTTAACCGCACACTCAAATGTTCACGAAGAAGAGTGCTTGTGTGTTCGGCTGAGTAATGTAAGTGGTTAAATGTACTTGCACATCGGATTTTATGCTTTTATGATGTGAGATTAATGTAAACACAGCCAACTGTGAACATCCTTGTAATTCGCTTGTAATTTTCAAACTTTATGAATGATTATTTTAGAAATGGTGCGTGTGTAAGGAACTGGAAGCAAGCAGAATTCTGCTATTTCTAAAGCATGCAGTGCCATCTGCTGTTAAAAACTAAGCTCAGAATCGATTCAAGAGAGAATTGCGATGTGTTCGGAAAATCTCAGAATCGATGCAGAATCATTTCTCGTTATTGGTTGTTGTTGTTTTTTTATTATTATCATTCATCTCATTTGTAATACAATGTATGAATAAGATTTGTTAAACATTATATTTAAAAAAACTGTCATAAAACATGAATATGCAAATATGCTGTTAAATTATTGACTTATTAACTGAAATATTAACTTAAAATCTGTTCAAGTAAATATTTCACGTCTAATGGATAACTAAGTTAATGTTAGTTAATGCATTAACTAACAATGAGCAATACATTTGTTACACTACACTACAGTACATTTGTTTGTTGGGTCATTCTACAGAAATCTCCACTTTTGGTATGGCAAGATTCAATTCAATTCAATTCAAGTTTCTCCCTACCGTTAAGTAACTTGTGCATTGTTTTACTTGTTTTTGACACATCCGACCGAACTACAAACTTTCCAGTGATGTCTGTGAGAAAGATATATTCACTCGACAAGCTCCCGCATCTGCGCCGCCGCGTGCTCAATCCACTCAGCGTGTTTGTTTATCAGCTTGCACACATCAGCTATACAGGCATTAATACTGAATGTTTAACGTTATATTCATTGCATACATATACTTCGTAGTAGACATCCTTAACTCCTTTCTGCTGTCTGTTGTTCTGTTGTTGGTGTTTCTTTGTTTGAATATAGCGTTTCACATGCTGTGTGGTATCGGCGTTTGGTATCGGGGCATTTTAACGAGTACGAGTACAGGAGACCGGTATCGGTGCATCCCTAGTTTTTATGAAATATTATTTCTCGATTTTGTTTCAGCACATGTAGTCATAATTGCAGAAAAATAATGAAAATGCAAGAAATAAGGAGATTGTGTTTTATTTATTTAACGTGACAGAAAAAACAGTAACACCAGTGACATACATAAGACCTGATATACTGATCTTCACTGTTGTTATCCATAAGGAAGGTGACACCAGTGACAATTTCCATGAAAAATGCATTATTCAAAATGGCTGCTGCAAGGTATCAAACCACATGTTGTCAATCATGGTATACTCACTAAATTTAGTAGTTTAAAGGGGTCATATGACGTTGCTAAAATAGAACATTATTTTGTGTATTTGGTGTAATGCAATGTGTTTATGCGGTTTAAAGTTCAAAAAACATATTATTTTCCACATGCTGTACATTATTGTTTATTCTCTATGCCCCAACTTTCTGAAACGCGTCGATTTTTACAAAGCTCATCGGTCTGAAAAGCGAGGTGTGTTCTGATTGGA